AAAATAATGCATATGAAGCAGAGATCTTGGGTCAAAAATTGGGGTATGACAATGGGAAAATGTTTTTTACAATTTTGATTCGGCAAGACTTCGAGAGCCTCGTGCCTACGTATCACCAATGTGTAATGATAAAATCAGAACCATGTAGTTCTTCTAACAAAGAAAAAAAAATTAGTTGGTTAATTTTAAGAGAAGAGACATTTTATTATCTTAGGAAGAATAATTAACCAAATATCTATAAACATGTGAATTATGGTCCTTTGCATCACAAGTGAAAGAAGGGCTTCAACCTGGATAACTTAACATGTATGCCACTAACCCCTTCAAGTAGAAAAGATACAACATTATATCAATCAAGGTTATGGATATAGGAGAATTATATCTCAACCATAGAGATGACTCACATCTAATATTTAAGAAAGGTGTTAAAACAAAAAGCCAAAAGTGGCAAAAAAAATTGAAGCGAGGTTTTGTGTTTTTTAGTCTTAGAAGAAAAAGTTTAACTTGAATTAAATGAATTAAGATTTGATTAAGAAAAAGATTTTGAAAATGCACTTGAAAAAGTCAAGGTTTTTATTGAAAGTGGTTTAAGTTTAAAAACAAGAAGGTTTTGAAAAGGAGAGAGAAGATTTGAAAATTAAAGAAGATGGGAAAGAGATGAAAAGACTATCCTAAAGCATAAAGTAAAAGCTATTGTAGGAAGGGTCTAACCAAACAAGAGAAATCATTTTGACATAAGTCAAACAATGGGTCCCATTTCTTTGGATTAAATCCATATAATGAAGTAATAAGCATCAAATGAATAATAGTGTCTCGGGTGCAAGCCTTGTATCATATGAATTCTAAAAGGTAAAAATGACTTGGCATGTATCAGATGAACTTGATGTCTCACATGAATTATTTTTTCATCAGATGAATTTCAAAGTAACACCTGCACACAGAAAAGTTCTCAATACAGAGACAAAATAACAACAAGATATTAAGGTCCAAAGGTCTCAAAGTCTCAAAGTCCTATCCTAAGGTCCAAAAGTCCAAATACTCAAAGATGCAAAGGGATAGTCACCATAGTCCAAAGAGAGCATAAAGTCTTTTAATGTTTAAGTTGTTTATTAATGCCGTAAAAAGAAAAAGAAAGATCAAGTGAGCAAAAGAAGAATGATATAAAGATAAAATGCTCAAATGAGCAAAGAATGACTTAAAGTTAAATGCTCAAGTGAGCAAAGGAAAAATGACGTAAAGTAAAGAGAAAAAAACATAAATGACATGAATGATAAATATGCTAAATTTAAATGATATAAAGTAAATTGCGGGAAATTTAAATTGCATTAAAGTAAATGTTAGTACAATAAATGTTAGAGTTAATATGTTAGTTTTCTAATTCGGGATAAATTTAGCACTATATTAAGCCATCGCAGACGGACTTATGTAGAATTCAATACTATAAGAGGTTGGTCAATAATAATGTATGTACCATACATGTTAGAGATATGATAGAAATCTACTCCCGAAACATGTAGCACAAGTAAAACAAAAGTGGATCAAGACCTAAGTCAAGGAGATGAGATCATTACATCAGTCAAATCTTTCAAAATACCTTAGGACAAACTTTTACTAATCCAAAGTACCTTGAGTGATCAATTGGTCTCTTAGAGATAGATTTGAAATGATGAAAGTTCATCAGGTACCAATATAGATTCAACTGAACAAGATGAATCATCAATCATCTAATTGATCCAAAAAGAAAAAAGAAGAAGAAAGAGATGGAGCAGAGATAAGGTGAACACGAAAAAATAGGAATCTAAATTGGATTAAGGTCTTGATAAAGTTATCATCAACATCATTCATCCATTTTGGTGGATTAGGGTTTTCACCCCATCAACACTCGAGATCCAATGAGATTGAGGAAACTTATGATCATGAACCAAGGCCATCCAATCAACAAAGTCAAAAAATATTAAAATACAATTAAACAATTAATAAATGAATTTTAAAATTGATTTTAAATGGAAATAAAATAGAAAATATCAATCAAAACATCAAATAAAAATGAAGTGAGACCATAGAAAAATCAGAGGAAGCCTATAATATTTTTAAAAAATAGTTTCATCATTTTTGAAAATCAGAAACTAATTTTAAACCATTAAAAATCAAGAAAATAGATCTAAAAAGGTTTAAAAAAATAGTAAAACTAAAAAATAGAAATCAAATCAAATCACCATAAGTCAGAAACCATCATAGGATCATATAATAATTTTTTAGAATTTAAAAAGTATGAAAAATAATTTTAAACCTATTAAGATTAAGTAAACAAGTTAAAAATTATAAAAAATAACAAATATAAAAATAAAAATCTGAAAAAATATCCATAAAATCAGAAATGATTAAAGATATTTTTGTGTAATTTTTCATATTTTTTAGATAAAAAATAAAAGAATTATGAATTTTTAAAGATAAAATGAATTTAAAATAAATCTTGTAAAATAAAAGTAAATGCCAAAAAGTGTGAGGCGCCAAATCATTCTCACTTAGACACGCTGGCAGATCCAAAGGCTACGAGATGATGGGCCATGATGAAAGTGAGTCAAAACGCGCACACGAAAGGAAAGAAAGTCAGACCAATAAAAATATTTCAAATGGCATGCTATCATTGGTTAAGGATGACACTTTGGTCATCTTTAACCTCCGGCTTCAAAAAATTTAGAAATCTAAGACAATTTCGTGTTTCACAAAGAAGAAACTATTGCTAATGAGATTGGTATCATTATAAGCGTCTCAATGAGACGATCTCAACCATATCCTCGCGAAAAATTTATTTAAACCATGGTGTAGTCGATTTGAGAAAAAGCATAAAGAGTTTCAAAAGGAAAATTCAAAAACAGACATAGCCAATGAAAATTAATTATGCTTAGAGCATCAGTGAACACCAAGGATCATCACAGTAATTTGAGTTACGAGAAATGGTGTCTCGAACTACCTGTTCGAAGTATGCTCAAAACCTTCTGAAAATTGACTTAAAGATCTCTCTATGATGCACAATTTTGTTTGCATTCGATCTTGTTAGCTTTATTGAAGTTCAAGGAAGCTTGATGAATGAGAATTTTGACTTGTAGAAGAGTGTGGATATGAAAACGAAGCTTACAAGTTAAGAGTTTGAATGGGATCTGCGCAGAGTTGTTTTGGCTATCAAAAGCTTGAGAAACGAATGAAATGAGGTCCTTATTTATAGCTGAGGTGAATGATGCTCTCAAATGTGTGAAATTATTCAATAGAGTGAAATTGTGTGAAGATCGAAAGCATAAAATGTGTGACTTCAAAATTTTCTAAGTTAAGAGCCTTAAAATGACATGTAATTTTTTGATGAATTTCATGTCTTTCCAAGCAAAATTAAAACTTGATCATTGAAGAGGAATTGTAGAGGGCATCATGAAAAGTATTATGCAAAAAGAATGAGATTCACATGATAAGAATTGAGCAAGTTATGATTCTTGAAAGTTGGTGAAAATCACTTGAAATTAGGTCAAAATCTAAGTCCCCAAATGACCTATAATAACTTCAAACATTTGATGACTTTCCTCACATAATTAGCTATTGACTTGTTAAGAGAAGTTGAAGATGATGTTAAAGAGAGTCATATGCAAAAACAACCATCCAAAAATGTTGATTATGAAGGAGTTGTGGTCTTGCAATCCAAGGCATGATGAAGCTCATATGAACTTAAAATGATGAAGCCTCCATTGATAATTGATTAAACATGGCCACACGTGAGGTTACTTGATGATGAAGGTATAGAAATAAACACATGAACCTTTGACTTTCTTGAGGAATAAGCAATCAACTCTTAGACATCTCTTGATAAAAAAATGATGTTGAATGATACTTGAAAATGATATGACCTAAGATTATAGATCAATTCTTAATGCACAAGTTCTTGAGGATCAATGTTGACCACACTTTGACTTTGATCAAATGAAAATCATAGCTGAGGACATTTGTTTGATCCACTTAGTTTACACTTGTCGTTGCAAAACAAACAAAGGGAAACAAAGCAAATCTTTTTGTAATTTGATTAGATGTTAGTAAAACATAACATGTATAAACAAATATACAAGATTCACAAGTGGGTGATTCGTGATCCCTCAAAGACAAACTTAAAGAAAGAAAGGAGAACAAAGGTGAGAGGCAACCCAAGATTTGTAATCTTAAGGTATTGCAAAGATACAAAATGATAAGAGATCTTAGGAGTAAAAATTATGATTTAACATCTAAGTAGCATTTGATTTCGTTGTGTATTTAAATAACTTTATAACTAGTTTTTCATAACGTGAATTTACAAGAGTTTTTACAATAGAGTTTCTCCAAAGTTTGTTATAACAATTTTCTCTCTGTTCTTCCATCTTCCATCTTCATCTTCATCTTCATCTTCAACTTTGTGCTCCAACAATTTTGATTGTTAAGTATTAGAGGTTAATGATTTATCAACTCTTTTAAATTGACCTATAAGTCATTGAATGCTTCGGCTGCCGATTTTATCACTCTGTAGCTATCAATTTTGAAGTGAATAAAGGAAGAAATTTTAGTAGCATTCAGCAACATATCATGCGCCATTGCCAGTAATATGCTGGCCAGTTTCACTAAATTCTCTCAAACCTTATTTTTCCTCTTCCAATGTGTCCACAAAAAACATTGCAAAATTTGTACAATGCGCAACTCTCATAACTTCAGCAACTTGAAGAAAACGACTATGTAATCCTTCACATCAGTGTTCACATCGCATAAACAAATGCTTCTCATCTCCACTTGAGACTTCCCAACAATAGTTAATGATATACAAACCTAGACACATACACAGAAGGCCAGGACATAAAATCAAGAAAAAACAGATATAGCATTATAGGTACATGTTACAAGAGAATTGAATGGTATGTAGTATATCCAACAACAGAAACAACAGAAACAACAACAACAACAAAACTAATTTTATTTTATTATAAGAAAAAGTTTCAGTCTGATCTCATTTTGTTGATTTGGTTAAGAGCAGGCTGCAAAATATTATAGAGAACCCAAAGAATAGCAGGTGCTACAACAAACAACAGAAGCTGACCCCTATTATCACTACCAGCTTCAGCAATAGCAGAAATTTCAGTCGCCATTGCATCTTGTGTTGACACAAACCCTGAAGCTGTTAATCCACCAAGACCCAAACCAATGATAACCCCTTTCGAGTTACGCATACGGTTGATTTGGTTAAGTGCAGGTTGAAGAATGTTGAAGAGAACCCAAGCTATGGCTGGAATTATAGGTAACAAAAGTGCTAAACCACGGTTATCTGATGATGCTTCAGCTATGTCAGCTATTTGTTGTGCTGCAAAAGCGGGGTTACAGGCTCCAAGGGTTGAGAATATTGCTCCTGCAAGCGCTGTTCCTGCTATGGAAGATGATAGTTTGGTGTTTTCTGTTGTGGGGGTTCCTTTTGGAAGAAGGTTCTTGAGGGAAAGGAGTGAAGTGGGTTTTGTAATGAGTTTTGTTGAGTTGTGGAACTTTGGTGAGCTTGTAGTGTTGAAGCACTTTGTGTTCATCATGGTCATTGCAACTATGGTTGATGCCATTGATTGATGAAGGAGTGAAAGTGTTTGTGTTAAGTGTGTGAATGATTTGTGGATTTGCAGGTAAGGAGAAATTTTTGGTTTGGAATTATATTTGGTAAAGTTAAGTTGAAGAAATGAGAACCAATGGAATTGTGGTATTAAGATTCTTTTCTTATCCGAATTGATATGAGATTTGGACCTTATATTTTGAGTGCATTTCTTATCACATCACTTTTGTACTTTTGTGTGTTTTCTCAAAGAGATGTGATATGAAAACACAAATTGTGACACGGGAAATAGGACACATACACATTAATGTATTGTGATTGTAAAATGGAACACATTCATTGTTCACTATAGTGAATAGTGTTATTTGTTTTTTATTATAAAAATAGATCAAATTTCCTTTTGTAACACACATACATAATTGTGTGATTAATTATTTTTATTGCTATATATATTCTTGAATAAAATATATTTGCCACCACACGTATTACAACACAATTCTTACAATAAAATTTTAGTCCGGAGCACTACCACAATTCTTATCAAAAAGTAAATAAAGAAACAAAAAGAAAAAAAGAAGATGGAAAAGTAAATAAAAAAACAAAAAGAAAACAAAGATAGAAAGATTTCTATTCAGAAATTTAGTGTAGAATGAAATTTATATATATATATATATATATATATATATATATATATATATATATATATATATATATATATATATATATATATATATAAATATAATTGACTTAAAAAAGGGGATGATATACGAGTTCATTAATTGATTAAAGGATTAACTCTTTCTAATAATTGATTAAAAGCTTTCAAAATATAGCAATCTTAATTCAATAAAAGAAATCATAAAGCTGCTATATAGTTAAATTGATAAAAGTTTTTTCTAATCAATTAAAATGTCTTTTATCTTGTTTAAATCGATTGGACTAAATTCTTAATTGATTAAGTTGTATGTAAATTTCCCTAATTGATTAGAGATTATTTATTAATCAATTTCCTACAAGTATTGATAGGTTTTCAAAAATATTTATGAAATTATAGAGTTTGAAAAAGATTTTTATGTGTGTGATTCTCTTAGTACTTTAAGACTTATTCTTGATTTATTTACATTGCAAACTGATCATTCTAAGATACAAATTCTCCCTAAATTTATTAAATTTCATTTTCTTGCCTAAAGCCTCAAATCCTCATTTTTTTCTACTAATTAAAATAATAAATAAATCTCCCAAGTTATTATTATTATTCTAGCTATTATTATTAAATAATTAAAATACACCACTCAATTCAAATAAATTATTAAAATAAAGATTGAGGTGTTACAACCCACCAACTTTCTAATTTTTTGTGGTGGAAAAAAGAAGAAAATTCGAAAGGATTGAGGTGCATAATTCTCTTGTTGAAAAAATTGAGGCATTTTTTGAGCCAGTCTTCAATTGATTCATCAAATACATCAAAAATTGTTTTCTCTTGGACAAAAAGGGATCTTGACAAGAACTGGTTGAAGTCAAACTGCATGGTTACCAAATTTGGTTTGTAGGCATCCACCCTAAAGCCTGATTTTGAAGAGCTATGTCTTTTCGACAAGACACATGGCTTGAAAAATTCCATTAAGATGTCATGGATTTCTCTTTGATCTTCGGCAGTGGAGTTTGTGTATGCTTTTCTAAACTAGTATGGTCCATATATTTGATTGAAGAAAGGTGCCATGGTCAAGACGAAACTTTTACAGTTGTAAAACATATCGAAGTAGGTCTCAAATATTTCCTTCGAGGAAGAGTTGCCTTCGTCTAGAGTAACTTGTGCAAGCCTTAGGACTTCAACACTCCTCTTTAAATTAGGTGAAATCCTAGTTTTGAGGGAAGGTTCAAAAGTGGCGCTAAACCATAGTTGCAGTAACCAAATGAGGCCAAAAACCATAAGGCTTTCGTGATTTTCCTATTCCTTGAGGTTATAAGAAGCAGTTCCCAAGGATTCATACAGACCATACAAAATCAGTTTGCTTAAACAAACATTTTTTCTTTCATGTAGTTGGGTGGCTAGAGAAATAAATTTCTTGGCTACTTGAAGAGGACTAGTGTAGAAAACAAAGTAGGATAGACAATAAGTGAGGAAAGATATGCGTTCTTGGGCACCTACGTTATCAATTGAAGCATGATGATCTTTGATAAAAGTTTTATAAGTAGCGCGAGTGAAATTGAAAATGGGTTTGGTTTTTGTCATTACAGTGGGGTCAAAAATTTCTCAAGATAGTCGAAGACCAGCAATTGTTGTTATGTCAAAAAGCGTAGGGGTAATCATTCCATATGGTATGTGAAATTTGTTGGTCTAAGTTTCTCAGAAGAAGATGGCAGCGACTAACATGTAAGGGTTATACTTGGGACCAACCCTAAAAAGTTGTATCAAATAAAAAATACTCATTTATTTCTATACTTTCTCTTTCTTTTGTTGAACCCTTTCTAGCCAGCTAATGTAAGATTTGTTAGTCAAAGAAGATGATCAGAATACATGGTTTTTCATGAAGCTCAAGTCAAAGGGTTCATCTTTAAATACCATATGTTTTCCATGTGAGAAACTAGGAAAAAAGCTCTCATAGTTTGATTGTTTCTTAGTCGGTTTAGTTAAAGGACCCATAAAAGTATGAACAGTACCTGCAAGAGAGTAAGGAATAAGTACCTGAGAAAACCAGACAACATGTTTTTCTTCTTCCATTAGAGGTTCAAGTATGTAAGTACAATCGTCTCGAAGGATATGACTGTTGAGTTCAGCAGTAAATGGGATATGTGGTTAATGCTTTGTGTTAGAACCAAAAGCCGTCGTTTGTTTCTTGAGAAATGCTTGATAAGACGTTTTGTTGAGAGAATGAATAGAAAAAGTTGTAGTGGAATTCAGAATATCTCTAGGGCTTTGAGGAAGAAGATGGCAGAAAAGAGAAGGAAATGGAGAAAGGGGGTATATATAGCCACAAAGGAGAAAAAACTTTTGAGTCTCCCTATAAAAGAATTCGGAAAAATGGCATATCTGAATCGAGAGATGGCGTTTAAATTTATTGGAGAAAATAAAATAAAATGATTTATTTTAATTTCATTTAATTCTGTGGCTCATTAATGTCCTAGGAAATTAGAGTAATGATGGAAATTTGCACATACATCTGTGACGTGGCGGTTAGATGAAAAGTGATCATGATGACTATGACGTATGCATGCTATTTTGACTAGTGTCAAGCAATTACTAAAAAGGCCACCTTTCTTCCAACTTATATGATCGAAAGTGGCATTTTTGGAGTACATTTGTTAGCCTGGAAATTCTAGTTGAAGGATTCGACAAGGGATACTAACAACTTTGCAGAAAATGACTAATTATGAAAACACTCAATCTTCAACGCACATGTTAAGACCAACAAGAGGGTTCGACTAACGTAGTAAGTGTGGTTTAGAATAATCTCAAGAATACATCCATAATATTAGGATCACTTTCTCTTCAAAACATATCCAAAATCTAAAAAAGGTTACATATATCCGACCTTTGACAAAGTGTCAAGTTCGACACATCAAGTAGATGTTAGAACTTAGCATATTTTCCTGAGTCAAAAAGGATGTTTTGATAACTCTATGGAAATAAGTCATAAACTCTCAACAAAGGCATCTAAGAGGTATTTTAAGGCAAATATAAGAAAGATAGTGGGGTTTTCAGCAGTTTGAATGCTAAAGACGCGTGGAAGGAAATCAAGAGTTTGAAGCCCATTTAAGGGGATATATGCCAAGCTATGTAGAGATGATTGTTGTTAATGGTTAACTTTGAATAAGTATATAAATCGACCTCGGTGTTGTGGTCAGGGGTCGCAAAAATCTCATTTATTCTCTATAGAATTAAAGTACTCAAATTACAGACTGAAACAGTTTGTGAGAAATGTATGAGTTTGTGTCCTTTATTTTAATTCATTAAATACTTTGTATTGAAAGCATTTATATTAAATGTCATCTACTTTGTTTATTTTCTGTTATCTTTATCCAATGTTTATTTTTTACGCTCATTTGGTTATTATCCAAACATTTAAATCCAAATCACACACACTTTTCTTTGTGTCTTTTCTTTGCATAAATTTTCCTTGAGATTTTTCAAGTTAATCTCTTAAGTTAACTAAACTTGTGATTTTTTACTAAAAACACCAGTAAACACATGTACCCAAGAGCCACACACTCATAAGGAATGATGAAATCTTTCCATGATGGGAAAGCATTTAATGTGATTGTTCCCCATTATTTTTGTAACCGATCCAAGGCGTTTCCACTTACATCCAAGAGTGAACATCATTCCTGGAGGCCGACCATGACTTCAAAGGCTTGCTCGACTAAATCTCCAAGCTTAAAACATTGGTGAAATTTTTTTGGGCCGACAAAAGGCTCAAAAAGTCAAAAACTCAATTTGATGCAGAACCACTCAAACACCCAACATATAAAAGTTGTTACACACCATATTAAATATGCACTATTATGATATTCACTTTTATACACTCATCTTGAATCCTGAACTGACTTGGGCATTAGAGTGCTAACTTTTTAGGTCCACTATACATCACTGTATCGAAGATCAACACCACCAGTTCAAGATCATTCACCATCGACACACACCAATTATGGTTCTAGAACAGAACAATCACGATACTTCTCTAAGGTGTCTCATACCTCCTTTGATCTGGTGATCTTTGAAATTTTCTCAAAATGATGGGAATCCATATTCTGTTGAAAGTATAACAAATATTTTCAATCTTTTTCTTTGATACATTGAATGTTTCCCTTTGTGCATTAGTAGGATCTACTCATAATTCCTCAGAACCATTATGCTCTATTTCAAACACTTATTTGAACTCCAAAAAGAGATTTCATCAAAGCACTTAATTATTCTCAATTGCTTCCATAAAGAATCAATATGTTTGATGGAAATCACCATTTATATTCATGTTTGTTGATCAAGAACACTAAAAAACACTCACCTTACTATGT